GCTGGGTGCATCGGTATGTGTAGGTAGGCCCCGCTTAAGTCTAGTGGGGCTAGCCAGTCGAAACGGTGGATGGAAAGAAGAACCCTGAATGGTGTCTCCATGTGGAGCCGATTAAGGAGCACGTACAGATTCAGTCTGCCTAGGTCCAGAACTGGACGCCCGCCACTTGTAGATTTGGTACGACAAACACATTTGGGTAGAAGCCTGGACTTAGTTCCGGCTGATGTACCCTGTGTATGGCGTGTGTGTGTGTGTGTGTGTGTGTGAGTTCCCTTCCCCCACGAGGTGATTTCCCCAAGGCCTGAAGTAGTCACTCAGTTGTGACCTTAGAACCGTTTGCGTGCTCTGCGCCCCACTCCGCACTCGGACGAACAGGGAGAGACGTGCCGATGGGGTTGCTTTGGATTCCGACGCCCGTGATCCCATAAGCGTTGAAGCAACCTTAGGTGGTCGCCTTAGGATCAAGGGTGGGGGTATTTACATCGTATCACTGGGATCAATGATACTACGCATTACCCCAAAAGACATTACGGATGGAAAACTCTGAGGGACCGCCCGGAGTACCGTGTCTTTTTTCACTTTAAATATGTGAGAGGGAGCGTGTTTGACTGTGCATCTCATGACAGGGTCGGTTCCCTCTGGGGATGCCCATGGGTCAGTAAGAAGGGAGTCAAAACCCACAGCGGAGACCGGACACAAGGATAAATTTGTTACCGTTGTACCGTTACCGCGTGACAAACCCTAGCTGGCTGAAAGTAGGGGGGGTCAACGTGTGCCCTGCCCTGAAAGCCCAGATCGGTGGCTTGGCTGCCAGCACCCCGATGACATCCAGTGCCCGAGGCTCCAGAGGAGTCCTGGTGCAATTAGCCTGAGCCTCGGCCTCGGGGGGGGCTGCTGCACTGGCCTTTCACTTTGATAGGGGTGTGCGGCCGGGAAATAAAACCCCAGACCCCATCATAGACCATTTTCACTTAAAAACCATACCCCATTATAGACCAAATAGTGATTTTGTATATCCCATCAGAGACCAAATTGTCATTAAATTTATTCAGTTATAGGTTGAATTTTCTCATCATCCAGACTCATCAATCTGAATGAATGATCAATCCAAGGGAAATAAGAACAAATAGAGTGCACTTACTTTTTAACACACAGCATTTTAATAGTATTTGATTCACAAAAAAGTTGTTTGACAAAGAGATCAGAGACTGAAAGGAGACTAGGAAATAATCAGTAAACTCAAGGTCAACAACTATTTAGTGGACATTTATAGTATATTTTTTTGTTGTTTACTGATTATGTTTATTATTATGGCCCAACATCAAGTAGTACACTACACAAAGCTTTAATGTACCACTGTCATAATGCCATGCTAGAATCATATCTACAGCTTTGATAATTT